ACAAATTACTGAAACAATAGCATGGTACTGCACATATATAGCAAGAACGGTTTTCATGAAAAACGTGATCATGAATCATCGTGACTTTGTGTTACTGTCTTGTTATATAGGAAGCTGCACTTGAGTGGTCATGAGTTGTCATAGACTGCTGTGTGTACATGACATGGGATGTCTTATGCAAGCAGTTCTATTTGCTTGCAGAGGGAAAGACACGTGACTCAGTTCATAACTAATGGAAGACTGTGTATGCCATTCATGCATGAGAGAGCCTGCATGGCATAATCCAGCGTGAACTATCATGATGTTAAAATGCCATGGCTTTATATGGAGAATGCCCTAAAAATAAAAAAATGTGCACTTTATAAACATGTTAAATATACCGTATTTATTAGATTAAATATACAGTATGACAAGCTGCATTATGTGACAATAGATGTGTAAAAGATATTGACAATACGAGTAATAAAATTAATACCCGATGCCACTGTATAACATTTAGGTTAAGATCTAATTCTAACATTTATATAGGATTTAGGTTTGGCTCTGTTAAGGTTGACAGTTGGCAGGCAGATAGTGATAGAGTTTGGATTACGGTTGAAGCTTAATTTTTAAGCTCTCATGGATGATAAAACACATGCCATTTCCAAATGCCTCGTACAGGGATCAGATTAATAGTTCAGATACTGCAGTTTGGATGTGTGCTGAAATGTTGTAAATAATACCATAAAATAGATAAAGCGCCAATGTCGGTTTTCAGTTGTTGGAAAGACGTTTTAACTCTCCCGCTATGACCAGTCGAACCAAGTTGAAATATGAAAACACCACAGGTGAATTTTACTAAAACAGAACATGCTTTTCATGAGAGCCTTGCTCATTGAGGCAGCCTCAACCAGCACAGCAACTCATTGGAGTCCAGCTGTTCAGCATTGATCCCTCTGTGTTTTCTGATGCACTGGCCCGGAATGTGATGTTATTTCATTACTGAGTCAGAAGCGACAAGCTCGTTCTCCTCCCCCAGGGCACCGGCCACTCACTTGGACAGGGGCACTGTATGTAATCATAACTGAATAGTTAGACAAGCTCAGTTGCCTATGGAAAGTCCAAGTCAAGCAAGGAGAAACTTTGGAGTCAGGAGGTAGGACGCGAGCACAGATCAGTGAAAGAGGCTTGAGGGGCCTGGACAGGACAAACAGAAACAAGTACCGCATTAAAGACTTGTCATCAGCAATGGACCCAGACGACAATGAACTCGGCATCTTTACTGTCATTCAGTGAGTAATGTGCTGTGGATTGGTGTTCTGTGCTTACTTTATAATTACTCCAGTAACTGTCCTAGGATGAGTGCACTGATGGTTGTTTTTGTGCAAAGAGTTTTGTTTGTTAAGACCATATACGAATAAATGTATTCGATTCGCTTTGTATTGCGTTTGTAGTTGTGATGTAGTTTTCTGCCTGAAGGTCGCAGGTTACCCAATTTATTCCTTACCACAGTATCACAGTAATATTGTATATTGTATGTTCCTGCAGGACTGCCATGGTTTTCCTTTGAGATTCACAACCCTCCTTGAAAATAGTTGGTGTTCACCTACTTTCTCAAGAACTTTCCCTTTTATATCTTTGCACCTGAGTGACAGCATTGCAAAGCTATAGATTATTATTATTAGTAGAATAGATGGTTGATGGAAAGAGGCATCTATAGCATTTCCTCATGGGTTAATAGGCCTTTTTCACAGCCGCATTTTGACATGTCATTGTAGGAAAAGCACAGCTCCAAATATTAACTGTAGTCAGTTGATGGCTGTATTCCATTTAGTGTCAGTTCAAGGGTCCAGTCATTGTGCATGCTCACTCGCTGGCCTTGGCTTATATAACAGGGAAATCAATAACAGTGTTAGTAACACCTGTTCCTATCCTGCTATAACAAGTCAAAATGTCTGCTGTAAAGAAGGCCTACATGGTTGTATTTATTTAGTTATAGAGATGAATTAGACATGTGGCAAGTTAGTAGTAAGAAGAATAAGGGTCATAAGCATTTTAACAAAATGAGAACAGTTTGCAGAGCTGTGATAGGCTGGCGAATGTCTATGGTGTGCCCGGCCTCCTGCCAAGTGCATGCTGGGAGAGGGTTCAGCCGGCAGCGACCCTGAACAGGATGAGCAAATGTAGAGGATTAACGTACAAATGAATGTACCAAATGTGAGCCGCTAATAACCCATATGTTTAATAACCTGCACGTTAACCAGGCCCACAGTAACTGTAGGTGTCGAGCATCTTGGCAGTGTCTCCATTATGTTGTTTTATTCACACTCCCCACAGAATAGGCTACAGCCTCCCAGTATTACTTTGAACTTTATCAGCAGGTGTAGTGAAAACCGGCAAACCAAATCCATAATCTTTTTCAAAGCATAGCAGAACTCAGCCAGGTAACACTTCACTTCTTATCCCAATTAGTCATGCTACTGAATATTCATGGAAAAACAGTGTTCAGATCTTTTAAACTCCCTCCTAAAAGCTGTTTAATTCACTGAATAAATCAGCCGTGGCACAGGCACAATTTGTGTTGCACTTTCCCAACAGATTGGGAAAGTTGAGGTACTGAGGGGCTCCCAGGCAGATGCATATTGACAAACACACACAAACATACAAACACAAACGCTGCTGATGAGGCGGTTGAGTGTGATTTCTGAGGGCGGTCTGTTGTTGTGGCCGCTGACACACATCTGGTTGAGGTCCAAAGGCTGCTAATGCTAAGTTGGGATCAGAGGGCAGTAAAAGCTACAAAGTCGCATCACTATAGTGCACACTGAAGACTATAATGCTGCTCAGTCTGCAGTATATCAGCATGTACAAACACAAGCTCATAGACCCATTCTGTGAACACTTCCTGATAAAAATCTAATATTCTGCTGCTTTTGAGTATACATTTATGCCCTTGCTATCTAGCATGGTGAGCAATTTATGCAAAGTGGTCATGCTCCGCTTATTTTAGCTTATAAAGGCAAGCAACGTGATCCAAAGGCAGGACTTGCAGTTTTTAAGTGGCCAAGTGTTCCAGAATGACTGAAATCAGCTGTTTTCAAAGGGAGTTAGAGAGAGGAGAGTTAGGGATCAGCAGGGCAACAGGGTTTTATCGGTCAAAGCTTCAGCCATAGTCTCCTTAGATCACGCTTCTGTCTGACCCTAATATCCTCTGCCACTCATGTTGGCCTCTGGGCCGTGAGCCCAAATGGACAAACATGACTGTCCAGAATACGCTGAGTCCCTCAATCCTCCCGCCACAGGACACAGCGGTTGCATTTGAAGCAAATAGTCAGACATGTTTTCCTCGCTCATCAGTGCACCCTTGTACTCACACACACCCAAAAAAAAGAGTGCCTGTTCCCTTCTAGAGACGCTAACCTGTTTCGGAATGCGATAAACATAATGGCGCACTTCTTTTTAAACAATTGGATCAACTCTCTTCACAGATTCAGAGATTCTAAGTAAATATTCAAATTTGTCTGAGAGAATCCGCAGGTTCACCTTTTTGCCCATCTAGTTGCATCTTTTCTGTGGCAGCAAACAAATCTGAGCCTGAGTGAAAGTGACAACATTCTTTATTGCATGTATCACTCTCAGCAAAGGCACATTGACTCACCCCGCAGAGCCTTACAAGTTGTGGCACTTTAATATAGGATGGTTTCTACTCGACTGTGATAGTAGCAGTAACAAATTGTAGCTTGAAATTCCTCAACTAGTATTTGTATTCTGCGTATTTCTGTTTATTTATCCATTACTACCTTACATTTTTTTATTGATTAACGTGTTTATCATTCTGTTAAGGTCCCAGCAGAGATTCGACCTGAATATAATTAGGGGAGCGTCTCCTTTTAACCCTTTAAAATTGACAATACTGTGCAAATGAAGAGTGTTGTGTTTTCACAGTCTATTGACTTTTTGAGCTATACCTATTGATGGCAGTAAATAGCTGTATTCAAACACATAGTTTTACAAGTGGAGCAGATGCCTTTTATAGAATATATTTGATCTTAGTTTGGTCTAACCATGTGTTTCCCTGCCACAGATCTGGATGACAGAGTAAACTGACTGTATTACTGTGAGAAGTTCCTTTTTTATCAAAACTGTCTGAGACACATGAAAAAGTATCAAGCCTCCTTGGATCAGAGACGAGGCTAATTGGCTCTTGGTGGTTTTCGACAGAGGTGCCTCGTCTGTGGTGTTTGATTTATGAAGGGTGATTCTTCCTCTTTGGGATAATAGACGCGTGGTGATTCTTCATCCGAAGACGGGTCTGAAATGTGATGCTATCCCTTGCCGAATTCTATCTGGTTTTAAAATTTCAGGCCCCTCCTGCTCATCTATCAGTTTATCTGCATGTGGAACTTGACGTGAAATAGAGCTCCAAACACATTGATGTTGCCCTACATCTTGAACTAGATGGACCAAGATATGAAAATATATGGAGATTAATTTCGATCTAAAGAAATATCACAGAGGAAATTAGATGCTTGAAGAATCTGTTAACATGCTGCCGACTACTTGGAGCATTGTGAATCACAATAGCCCTAATCTTCTTCCCTCTTGGCATTTATTAATCACACAAAACCAAGGTCTTATTCTCTCCTGTTGAATTTCATTCTGCATATGGTGATCTAACAATTCTGATCTTCTTTTGAGCCCATTTCGTCTGCTCTGTGTTTGTTTTTGTTAGGGTGGATTGCTAAAATGTTTGGAGGCCTCTTATGAATGGCCTCATTGAGAGAAAGCATTTAGCAGCTGAACTGTTTTGAAAGGTCAAAACAAATGCAGTTTACAGTATGGGCATCCTAATGTGCAGCTGTGAGGCAGAGACCTCAGCTGGGGAGGGGGACACATTAGGTCCTCCTGTCTCTCCAGCTGCTCGCAGTGCTCCTGCATTTGCACTCACATTATGTGCACATCATGCAGTGTGTCCCCGTAAGTTCATCTCTCTCTTCCTTTTCAACCTTTCCCTGCTTTCTTCAAACACGCCACATGGTTGAGGATTGATGAGGGCCAGCCTTTGGGGAATTCTCGGAAGCTGGCCGCATCCTTTAGTAGTAATTCTTGTGGCCCTTGCTACCATACAACATTCTCTCACATTCCTCTCTCTTCCTCTCTCATCTCCCACCACCACCACCACCACTGCCACCGCCACCCCCTTCCCTCCCTCTCTCCCTCTGCCCCTGGCTCTGGCTCTCTCTGCCTCTCTCCAAAGCTGTTGTTACTGTGCGGCTCCCGCACATCATTCCACCGCGATGGAAATTAAATGAAGGTGGCTTAACGCAGCTAACAGAGGCATGCTTTGAAGGATGTAACCGGGGGAAGCTGCTCTGCCAGATCCTTTTCCATGGGCTGTGGATTTGCGCTGCTGAGGCGAGGACACAGCAATCACTCAGCCATGCAGAAGCCCAGACAACAGGACTAATCTCTCCACCTGACTTGTGGAAGCTCCACTTTTTTTTCTAAATTATTTATTCCTCGCTGCCAAAGACAGTGTGGGACAATGGAGCCGGAGTGAAGTAGATGATAAATTTGTAGCCTTGACTGCAGTCTGCAGCACACATGGATGTGTTCAGCTTTGTGAAGATGCCAAAGCTGTCAGGGTGAGTCCGATGGATGCCGCTGTGCATTTGCCTGTCTGTGCATGTGCCTGTTCATTCTGTACGTTCATATAGGCACGATTTAGAGAGTGACACAGGAATCACATGTGGAACAGGGATTAAAAATGCAGAGTTATTGATTGCTCAAGAGAGCAAGTTGTGCAGTCATGTATGATGTGAAACGAATGAGCAAGTGAGGTAGATGGGAGTGGGGGTGGATGCAAAAGCTGATGCGGTTCGTGTATCTGAACTGTCTGTATCCAAGTTCGTAAAATTGATTTTACTGCAGACAGTGGTTAAGATTTGTTGCTTTATGTGTTCGGTGATGTCATGAAAGCATACATGTTCTGGAAAATGAACTGCATTTGTTTCAGATTTTAAAATCACTTCAGTTAAAGGGCCATGATGATTATCAATGCACAATTGCTAGAGTTGTAAGTCATGTTTGGTATAATATAAACATATCTTGAATGAATAAATAATTGAGCAAGTCTGGCTTTGGTCCCTAGAACCACTAAATATCAGTGGTCATTTTATGAGTGGTGAAGTTCACATACCTATGGCCAGAATAGGATGGACACTTATAGTTGATTGTTGAGCAGTTGAAACCTTGCTGTTTTACAATACAAAACATGAAATAGAAAAAGAACCAACACATTGTAGTTTTCATTTTCTTATTTTCTTAATTCAGCAACAGTCAATGTCTAAGTCAGAACTTAAAATGGGGTTTGTTTGTTTATTCCAAGAAGTGATGACAAGTATGTGATATGTGAAGTATACGTCAAACCATCCTGACAGATTCATTCATTGCCTGGTCTAACACCTCACCTTATGCACCCATGGGTCTGCTAGATTGAGTTGATCTGCCCCAGTGGACAGTAATCCTCCTAGGGGATTTGGCTCCACCAGAAACACTACAGACCACTAGTGGTGGGAACAGCTGATCATAAATGTGAAATATTAAATCAGAAGCTGAATGTGTCACAAGAGAGCCCATTCAGTGCATTTCATTTCGCTTATGAGTCATCAACAGACTGCACTGGCATTTTTTTCATTAGTTCTTTTTAAATAGACAGAAAAAATATGTTGGATGAAAAAATACAGCAATATACTATGACTATGAAGAATAATATTGAACCTTAGTATTTTTTTCTGGTGTATGCAGATCACAGCTTCTTTTTTTAACATTCCTACAGGGAAGCAGGCAGGTTGCAGGGATTTTCCATCAGATGATAGGTCCGTTGTTTTCCAGTTAGTATCCCTCCATGGCAGCATTTATGATGCGTCTCCCAGTGGACCACCACCGTCACTGCATCCTGTCACAGTTAATAATGCCACACAATGTTATCCTGATTATGAGTTACCACTGCTACACTGGCAGGGTTTTTTTTGTTTTCTCCCCCTCTTCTGCCAGCAAGAATTTAAGTCAGCAGGATGCTGTTTTGCTAAGGTTGATTTTACAGAGAAACCCACTGCATGTATTTAGAGATCTACAAGAAAGGGAACATTTCCCCTCATTGTCTCTTCCTCTTGCCTTGCAACGCCCCCAGATGTGTCTGCTGTCAGAACAAAAGCATGCGCTTGCTTTCATTCTCTTTATTCTTTGCTGTGTTTAAATCTAGCAAACATGTTTGATGTTCTTTTACTGAAAGATAACTAACTCTCTCACTCTGTCTTGTTGCGTCTATAAAGCAAGTTAGAGCCATTTGACCATCGTAGTCTAAGCTGATCTGTTTTGTTCTTTCCATGTAGAACTTTGGTTAAGTTAGCTGGAAGGGCATCCTGTGGGTGTTATAAATGTCGGCAACAGCACTGTGGAGATAATGAGCATGAACTTTAGATATTAATGTACAAAGTGTCAATTATCTCTCAATCACTGTGATTGTGACTCAACAGGGTTGCTGAAATGTGTGTATTTGTAGGTGATAACAGAGCACGCTTCCATTGCATGCATTAAAAAATGTTGAGATTATATATTATTGTATGATGATATACAACTATTTTTAGTCTTCCTTATATATCCGATAAGTGTGATCATTAAATTTAAGTGAAAATGTTTTTCTGGATGGTGTTGGTGAGATAATATGTTAGAACAGTTAAAGCCAATTTATTTGGACTGCGTGAGTTCATTCCTGGCCGTGTTTCTTTTAAAAATCTATTATTAATTGAGCCATTGTTCGGCATGTTTTGACTGCAAACTTTTTACACAGGAAATCACTGGTCTGGATACAAATTGATTAGCCTAAATGTTCATCAGAGTACACAAAGACCAAAAGATCTGTCATTTGTAGCTGTTCACATCAGAAGCTCTCGGAGAAGAGTAGATCAGAAATGGCTCAGGGTCAGAAATGGGAGCCAGCTGGCTGGTAGACGAGGTCTCAGGCAACCATTTATTTTGTTCTGTCCTTTAGTGCTTTTAACATAAAAGCAGTGAGTAGCACAATGAGGTGCAGGAGAATCCAAGTCCAGTTGCCCACAGGCTAGGTTCATCACTATATTTGGTTAATGTTTCAGAGAGCACGTTGGAGAAAAGAAGGCCTTGGGAAAATGCTTAACGAAATAATAATGAAAGCACAGATGTCTTTTCACACAGATCTTTTGTTATTCTTGTGTCTATCTTTTTGCAGCTGGATATGAAATTATCATGTGGTCTAATGAGGGAAGTGTTCTCTGTGTGCATGATGTGCACGTCCTATGTTGTAAGTGTTGCAGCAGACTATCTATCCAGGTTTCAAGACACAGCTTTGTTGTAAGATCATGGCTTTTTGCTGTTTAACAGGTATACTAGAGACTCACTTACTCACAGTAAAATAGCAGGAGGATCGTAGTGGGTGGGCTGTTTCCCAGATGCAGTTTTATTCCCACCCAGAGGAGATTAACTAACCAAAAACCTTTCTATATAGAGGCACCAGAGAGCTGCTCAGGATAGTGCGGTTTCCCATGGCAACAATATCAGTGCTTCCAAAGACAAACACAGAAATACAATATTCAGTTGGAATAGCAGAGGGAAATAGACACTCTTATTCTGAAGTGAGCGTTATTGTGTAGATGTAATTTAAATATTACTGCATAATGTACAAAATTCCAGTCACACAGGCTGTATGATCTGCTGATGTAATTTCGTCATTGTTTGCTTCATATGAAAGTGGATTCATGCATATCAGGAAAACACTGTGTCTTCTTATCTGATGTCAAATAAACAGAACGTAAAGTGGACAACAAAAAAAAAACAGTGATGTATAATTCACAGAATGGGCGAGAACAGCGGCATGAAATAGTGCAATTACGTGTAACTACATGGTCAGCAATATTTTTGAAATCACTGATAGCTTTTACTTTAACAGCGGAATATAAATAGCTTATTGGACTATGTTCCATTGTGCTGCCATATTGACCAAAGAATTAGAGCCAACGTGGTGATTGGAAGGAGTCATGCAGAGGGCAGATGTTTTCTTAAACAAAAGCCAGTGCGTTTGTGCCCTCAACAGGATAGAGGCTGTCTAACAAAAGGAGAGGAATAAGGCCTTTAATCACAGAGGTTCCTCTCTGTCTGAGCCACTTCTCTGCTCCACTCCCCAGGCCTCCTCCCAAGAGATGGTCATCTCATCTGTCTCTCCACAGATTTCATATCCAAACAGAATCACATTAGCAGTCTAGCTCTGCATACTGTAAGTGTCTCTGTTTAATTCAAGAACACAGAGAAAGCAGCATCACTGCCTCCTCACCCTGTATCTCAAGTCATACTTGTACCACTTCACTTCCTGTCACTCTAGGAGAATGAAGAAATACCTTTTATTTTTACTAGACTTTGTAAAGAGTTTGGTATGTGTTCAGGGATTGGTAATAACGTAGACAGTGGAGTGGAGGTGAGTTCAGATCTGGAGCATGCAGTGGTATAAATATCTACTGGTAATGTAGTTGTGCCAGTGTGATTCTGTTAAGTGTGCGTCTGCATGTGTATTTATGCAGCAGAAACTGTGCCGAATGTTGCTCAAACATAAGGAAATGGCTTGCTAATACAGTTGATCCTATGAGACTGGATCTCTACATTCAGTCACACACACCAAACTGGCTGCACTGGAGGAGGATAATGTGATGCTTAATTGATGATGTCGTATGTAAAGGAAAATTGAGATTGATATGCCTCTCTAGATCTCTACTTTTCTCTCACCCATGGCATGCTGGGAAAGCCATAAGAAGCAATTTGCTCCTCTAGCAATGAGCATGTAAATGTTATTACATTATTTTCTATCATGTGCAAATGTGAGTTATTGAAGCAAAACAAAATAACTTTCTTTAATTTTCAATATGCATAATGGCAGGTATGTGGCACCAGAGTGTGGTTTCATATAGCCGACCCTCATGGAGATTGTTGATGTAAATAATTCAAACTAACTTGAGTGTCTGTGTTGGAATGTGCTTTTCCTAGCTGTGGCTTGTCTATAATGCATTGTTACTCCCTACATTAACAGGATTTCAGCCTTCATGACAACACACCCGAATGCTTCTTCTCAACTAGCTTGTATTCAGAGAGATGAAAGCGAAAGTGAACTACTGTGATAAAGCAAGGATCACATTGTTCATGCAGTTTTTATGAAGGGCTGAAAAGTGATCTTTTCCCGATCTCTCAGTCAGGACAATTAAACTAATGCCTTCCAAATTATAAATGGTACATTTGGATGACAGGCTATCACCACTGTTCCTCTTAATAAAGATGTCAAGATAGATGCACAAAATGACGTCTTTGAATACAATTGTGTCGTTGTCTTCCAGTTTAGATGCCTGCCAACCCAGATGTTAGTCGCTGTGGTAGCAAAGGCTTAGATCTTCAATGTAGTTCCAATGTACTTCATTGATTTTTTAACTATGAGACATTTTTCTTTTTGTTGTTAATGTCTGTTAAATATTAGTTTGTGCTACTTTTAGTAAACAAACTCTTAAGAGATGCACATAAAAGGCACCATGCATTTGAACATTTTAGTGAAATTTGTCCTTAGAGAAATCCTTTGGGAACATACATTCACTTCCAACTTTTTGTTCTAATTGTCCTCCCTCTGACTCTTGGGTAACCTGTTCATAAATTGTGCAGCATGACTTGCCCACTTGGCGCTCGATTACTTAGTCCGATGTGACTGTGCAGGCATCATTTATTAATGCTGGCTGAGAAAGATCAGTTTCACTGTCCACCAGCGGGTGAACCTTTTTTCAGCCTCTCTGTAAGCCAGAGTGCTACGACTCAATGGCATAATGCACCTCCCGCCTGCAGACAAAAGAAATCAAAGATCACAGTATCTATGTCTGTGCCGTTAATACTGAGGCATTGTGGCTGAGAGACAGAAAATGGATTTTGTGGAACAATTTGTCAGTTCAGAAACACATGTTGAAGGCACAGCGTCTCAAAATGTAAGTACAATATGCTTTATTATGCTGTAGACCTTTGGAGAAATGTCAAACATATCAACGCTAAAGGTGTAATCCTGCAAAAATACTATCATTATAAAATATTATTCACACGCTACAGTTCTTTAACCTTTTTTATATGTTACATCTCTTGAATAAAATGTGTAAATCTGCAACATCAAACGCTGCTCATGTTAACATGGCTGTTATCCCAAAGGCTGAAATGGAGGGTAACAAGTAGGACTCATCAATGAGGTGAACATGGCTTTAGCAGTGTCAGACAGTATCCAGTTGTGTCCACACACATCATTTGAGCTGCAGGAAATGTGTTCTAAATATACACCATCGAGGCCTGCTCCAAGCTAATGTACTGTGGGTCAAATAAATCCATATCCATGTGGAAACACTAATATCCCCCAAACACTGTATTGGGAAAGAAATCGCACTGCTTCCTGTGTTCAGAGCCCAACTCCAAATGTAGAGTAAAAAAGAAAGAGAAACACAATTTTCAGCAGCACAGTATATGTACTTTTATGAATTAATCATGATTTAATGCATCCGGCAGCACTTAGGTGTGTTTTGTTACTCAACTAAAGTGAACCCGGAATATACTCAGCTTAGCTTAGGTTGCGTTATTTTGTAGCACCTAACTCTTGCACTGAATAGCTTTACAATAGTTCCTGTCTCTCAGCTTATACGGTGTGTTGACCATATTTTATTCATATCTCATGAAATGGGCATGTGTGCCCAGACAGACAGACTTGTTCATGGGCACACCCACACTAGCACACGCTCTCACACAGATACAATACAAGCACGCTGCACACAATTTATTATCGTCGGTACAGTAACTGGGGAAACATTTAGAGGGAAAGAAAGAGGAGCTTTGAATAATGAATGCGAAGAGCCCTGTTACACGGCAGACAAGCCTTTGAAGTGACATAACTTACTGCCACCGCTTTCATAGCATCACCAGTGTGCAGACACAAAGACAGAGATAAAGAGAAGACGATGGGGGGGGGTACAGACAAAAAGACAGATGAAAACATTTTAACCAATTACTGTTTTTCTGAATACCTGCACTCTGCCAACTTGTAGGGAAAATGCTACATGCAGAATTGTGTTTTGTCTGTACAATCAGCCAAAATTGAGATTTAGACAGGCACTGTCTTTCATACAATTACTACAATTTATTGTTTTGTGAAAAGATGGTTAAGTTGTATTCTATGATAAACTTTATCAAATATTCTTGGCATTATGCAAATCAAATAACCACTTTATAAGAAAATTCCTCTGGGCTTCTTTTAAAAAGAATGTGCTGACATCTAGAAATGAAACCAATTTCATGCCTCTCAAAGCACAAGAGTGAGGCATGACAACTCCGCCTGTGTGTCTAGCTTACGTAATTAATTTGATTTGTATTCACTGAGTGAACTGTGGCTATGGAACATTGTTTATCACGCTGGAATCAGACATTCTCTTATCACTTGGGTTGAATGGCTTCATATCAGCCCATGACTCATTTACTTCTATTATGATTTAAATATCTCTATGACAAATATTATTTTGAAATTCTCCTGGAGTGGGGTTTCATATAACTTTGATACTACAGGTGTTGCAAGTATACAAGTAGATTTTTAATGGAACCACAAATTATGATGCAAAGTTTACCTATGTTTAATTCCTCTTCTCTTTCTCCCTCTGTAGCCCCAGGACCAAATCCTCAGGCTGGCCGCCCCCGTCAGGGACCTGGAGTTCTTCGCAGGGACCCCCCAATGGATGGGACATGGGCAGCAATAGAGAGGGGCGTGACTGCTACATCAAGTAAGTGCCCTGTGTTTAAAGAAACAGAGGGGGAGCTTTCTCTGTCCCAGATGTTTCAGATGCTTTGCCAACCTGTGATTATTCCAGCCACGTCACTGCCTCCACACTGTCTCCATCTGTGCATTCAGAATACTGATTCTCTGTTCCCTCCACTGCTGCGCACACTCCTGCCCCTGCCTCCTCTCACTCTCTCTCACACTCTCACACACCCACAATACTCCTCATGCAGTCTCCCAAATGCAAGGAGAGGGCTTCTGAGAGTGTGTGCAAGCTGCCGCTGAGGAAGACATTCACCTGTGCAGGGACTTTGTTTTGATCTGAGAGTCTGCACGTTCCTCAGAGGATGCTGGGTTATAGCGCTATCAGCGTAATTGATCCTTCGTAATTGGCACTTCTGGATATCTGCGCAGGCAGGTAAAAAGAAACTCCCTACTGGCTCTTTATATGTTTGTGTGCACATGTTCCAGTGTAACAAGTGAGTGTTTAGCTTGTTTCATCTGCTCTGTAGATTCGGCTGATCTTCCCTGTTTCTGCACAACCGTGACGTGCAATGTGCATTCGTACTAGATCTAAAAATATTGCTGCTTTTATGAACCCTTGTGCATACTAGATTCTGACTGTTTTTGCTTCTCTCATTTGTTCACAATATTGTTACTTCCTCTCAATTAATAGTCACTAGAATGGAACAACGGGCACGGTGGTTTTTATGTCCTAGATGCATCTCTCTAATGTGAAAAATTGTGTGTATTTGCATAGTATACGGAATGGGAGGTGAGCACTTGTCACACATGGGTTATAGCATGAGAAGTGTGATGTCAGAGGAGTTATATAAGAAGTAAGGAGCAGTGAAAGTGCTGGATGCAGAGTGTGTCTGGATGAGGCAGATCACTGAGGCTGTTTTGGCTCCAGCTTTAGCTTTCTAAATTTGAGGAACACTCATGAATAATCAAATGTCTGTTTCTGTGATTGTCTGTTGCCATCAGTTTGTCGAGGCTACTGGGTGCTGATACTAAATTGTTGTATCTCTCAGTGGAACACATGTCTGGTCTGCGTGACAGGAGCACATGAATAAAGCAGTAGCCATTTAATATTTACAGTACAGTGTGACTCACGTTATTTAACATGGATGTAATATATAGAGACTGCTATAACTATATTCTGCAGGATTGTACGGCAGAGTAGATCAATATATTGGGGGAAATTACAGATTTAACACAGGCTTTTTGTTAAAGACTGAGCGTCAGATGGCTGGATGACAATTTCTTTTCACAGCACACAAAGATGTCAAAGTAAAGTGGTTCCATCAGTACTTCAATTGACTTCATCAAAACATTTAACACATTTTAATAGACAAAGCTAGATTTCGATTTGGGAGATTTTGAAAATGTACAGTAGCTAGTCCCCTAAAAAGCAGGAGTGACACAGCAAAAAAATAAAAAAAATAAAAATGCCAATACAAACTAGCTGTGATTGCATAATTTGAAAAAAGGTTGTGTTCCAAGCAGGACAAATATAACCGCCTTGGCACCAACAAACTGTGAGCCGTGTCAAAGCAGCTTTTCAGAACAAGAGTAACAGGATATTGCCTTCGTTAATGAGCTTACTCCACTTTGTCCAGAATATGTTTTATGAAAACAAGAGTGAAAATAGTCTTTGTACAGTGACAGTCAGGCCAGCGTTTCTTCTGCTCATTTTTGTTCATCTTGTTAACCATATAGCTCACAATGCGGCCTCTGATTGCTGTGTAGAGCGTTGTGGAGCTACACTAGCAGCTAATGAGTATGATTAGGGACCATTAGATGCATGGCTGTCTGCACAATGGGAATCCAGCCATGTTTAGCAGGTGGCCTTGGAGGGGAGGAGACAGTACTCTTCCTGAATGCACAGGTCCATATGGTTTTGATTTGTGCACAATCTGTTGAGTTTGTCTTTTGAGAGATAAAACTGACGCACAAATCCAAACAAAATTTGTCTTAGAAGGACGTTTAGAAATGTAAAGCGAGAGCTGACTGTGCAGTAATTCTTGTTATGAGCTGTTGTATAATTACTGTGTAAATACTTTGAAACAAATTCCTTGTTAGGGTGACAAGGATGAGGACTAAATGTGTCACTGTAGGAGGCATTATTATTTTTAAAGAAATCGGGGTGACTCTTGTGTATGAAGGCTTGGGTGCCACTGAAATCATTTTATGAGCTTGAATGGTTAATTACAAAGTACAATTACAAGCCTTTAACTGCTATAGCTTTTGAACAAACGTCAGACACTTCAGAGAGTGAAGAAGGAAGTCAGCAAACTAAAACTTTGATAAATTACCTCATCTGTGAACATGATTTCGGCCCGAGACACGTCAGATAGATTTTCATCAGCGATGGTATTGTATTAAGAATGAAGAAAAACAACTCCCACGCTACTTCACAATGTCATCAGGCTACGTCTTTTGCTATGTAGTAGCAGAAATGACATACTATATGTTGAACTGATATATTTAGAAAACACTTTGGTTGATTCAAGTGCTTGTTGCATTGAAATTATACAATTAAATATTAAATATTTGTACGGTTACTAAATGCAGCAATTAATCTGAATGCAAATGTATTTAATATTCTGGCCTCTAGCTTCAGCGGCCCACACTGCACAGTGCGTATTGGCCTGTTTAGCTGTTCCACATTGGAAATCCTGATGTGGCTGATATTTTGCCTACTCTCTCCCATTATCTGGATCAACTGTGCACAAAAACACTGGCTGATAATGATTGTGTTTCTCACCCTCATATTTTAACAAAAATTTCAAGGCTAATTGTTATTTTTGCACATGAAAATTTAATTTGTCAAATAAGTCACCAAAGTAAAATAAACTTATTTGACATAAAGGCATTTTCTTTTTTTTTTAAGATGACGGATTTAGTGTTTCTACTGAGATCACCGCAGGTAAAAGTGGTACAGGGATAACACACTCAGCTCATTAGTTTTAATTCTCCTCCATGTTTTTAGTCTTGTTACTGCAGGCTTTGCACTTACCATTGCCTCTCTTTGCCTGCCCATTCTGCTGGTCCACGCTGCAGTGAAACTAGAGACTTCTGTGTATTTGACCAATTAATCAAAGATTAAAATAATAAGTACATTTAATTGTGAAGGAATGTGCAAAATTGTTGTTAAACAGTTTTGAAATGTAACACTTTGTTACTGTTAGTGTGAGGATAGGTGAGGATTCTGTGAACCTTTGTTTTGATGATACAGTAAGTTATTGGGCCAAATCACCTACATTTTGTGACATTGTAGACCTAGTAATTAAAAGACTCCAGAGAACTATAAGGTTAATGTGACTGGCCTTATAGCTCTTTGGTAGCCATTTTTAAAAACCTTCTTACTAACCTTTACAATATTGTTGCACACTAAGCACAAAAACTGCTTTATATGTTGTTTTGTTTGATTTTAAATCAGAGAATTTGGAAAGGTTTACCCCTATGTTAAGTATGTATAGGCTCATTGCATTCCACTTCAACAAAATGTGTATACAGAAACGAGAGAAGATGCTGTCTTTATCTTCTGATTTCACCTTAATGCAGATGTGTTACTAAATTCATCAGTGGACGACTTGGGGTTATGTAATTTTCAATTGAAACAAAGAGGATAATATCTTAATTGCATTCACGTATAATGGCTTCTGCATAACACTCACGCAGTACATATTAGTTTGTATTATCGTTTAAATTGAATCAGTAGCACATTACTTTTTAGGCATTTGTTTAATTACCATAAAAACAAGATTGGGCGCCCCTGCCAGCATCTGTGTGCCATAACACAGAGACACATTTATCACTGCTTAAAAACACAAGTTCTTCCATGAAGATGTTTTTGCTACCTTTTAAGTAATGTACTACTACGTTAGTCTCTTACTTATTCTTTCCTCCTTTTGACAAAAGCATACAGAACAAAACAAGGGAGTGGGAGGAAAGGATAAGAACATGGTCCTTGTAATGGAAAGCAGTCGGATTTACGTAAAATGTCCTAATTCTAAGAAACCTACAAGAAGTTGGAACATTAATAGCTCTTCAAATTACAGAGAATACCAGTCCTCAAAATGTCTCTTCAGCTCATAGGAGATGATCTTGTTCAGCTTGAATAGAAAGCAGTGGCTTGGATTCGATAGAAAGAGGAGACCGTATGGTTCGTTCAGAGCGTCTTTACTGACATAAGTTGTAGAATAAGATTTAGGTGGTTAAGGTTAAGGCTCAGCAAAGTATGTTCCCCACTGTAGCTCTCTGTGCTGTAGACCTTTTCACCTGACTCCAAACAATGAAGGCTCCACTTTACTAGAACTGGCCAGTAGAGTCAATGTTTACAGACTGGTTGTAACATTTATTTTACTTTGTCAAAGATTCTTTTCTTTTGGATTAAGGCTATTTAAGGGCTGAGCATCTGATTTATAGAAAATCTCAAGTCTTAGTTCTCTGTAAAGGCGAATGTAAAAACATCACAGTGAATGGGATTACTTCTAGTTCAGGACTGCTATTACCACAAAAAATAAAGGTTGAAAAAACTGGTGTAAACATTCTTCCCAACTCTTATCTTTCGTTATCTGTTTCAGCTCTATTTTACATCCCGATGACAGATCACATTTGTGGTTTACAGCTCTGGGAAAGAATTGTTGAATCATCCTCCAAAATATCAGTTGACAGTCACTTCGCTTTGAACATCCAGTTGGGCTGGGTTTTTTCATAGTATTGGGATTGCGACTGACAGATCTCACTGTGTCTTTGTGCTGAGAAAGATTAATTGTTAGTATTTAGTGGTGAACAGTACATGTGTCAAGAATAACTGTGAATTACACACTGTCTGCCCACGGCTCTAATTAACCAACATTGCTGGCACCATACGGAGCTGCTGCTGCTTTTGCAGCCAGAGAGAGTGGAGGAACACTGTAAAAACTCATCACAGATCACAGAATGTGTGAAGGATAGATACAGTTTGTGAACGGCTTTTGAGCTCATGCAGCTAAAGGAAAAATAACTGTGTTGCAGTAAAAATGCATTGATCGGAGTAAGGTTGGAACTGTACAGTCTTGGTTTGCAGCCAGCTGTTGAGAGAAGGATTCGTACAGGCAACGAGATAGCAAATCTCAAACTCAGGCGGTCAGGAGGTTTCTACAGCATGACACTCCACATCATACCTGTCCTGCATCTTTATTAGTGTGGCAAGGTAAAATCCTGTTCTTTGAAGTGTGAGTACTACAGAAAACAGTAACTGCCTCTCGGTGAAACACACAGTGGAGATCTGCAATGTGAGAATACAAACATTGGAGCTTGATTACTGCCCACATGTTCTATTTTTATAGCATTGCTTCTTATTTCAAAACAATATCTAGCATCTTGTTTCGAAGATTTTGGGGATTTAGACACAAGGTAAACAACCATTTTCTATACAGTCACATTTATTGCTGTCCCCTTTATTGACATTTTTGCACAGTTTTCTCCCGTCGGAGTTGCAGTTTTCATTGTTTCTCGAAGGTGAATCTCTTTATTGGTTATATTAGTTTGAAATATAGGGCTTATATTTTAACATTATAGCTGCAACAAATGATTATTTTCATTTTTGATTTATCTGCTCATTATTTTCTAGATTCATCGGTTAATCATTTGGTCTATTAAAATGGCAGAAAATTGTCAAAAATACCCATCACAGGGCATCCTGGTAGCTCACCTGCTAGAGCAGGCGCCCCATGTACCGAGGTCCTTGATCCAGCAGCCGTGGGTTTGAGTCCCACCTGTGGCCCCTTGCTGCATGTCATCCCCCTCTCTCTCTCTCTCTCTCTCTCTCTCTCTCTGTCTCTCTCTCTCTCTCCCCCCTTTTCTTGTCACTCTACAACTCTCACTATATCCATCACAAGTTCCTAGAGCCATTTTTCTGCTTTATTTGGTACACACTGGTTTCACAACACTGCATACAAAAGTTTGACCATGGAACAAAAACAACCAGTAGCGATGACAAAAACATGTTTTTCCCTCTCACAGCCACGTCTCCCAGAGCAGCTCCCTGGAGGAGGTTCGTCTGGACGGAGACAAGTTTGTGCCACCAGCTCCCCGGAAGGTGGAGATGAGACGAGACCCAGTGCTTGGCTTTGGATTTGTGGCAGGCAGTGAGAAACCCGTGGTGGTCCGCTCAGTTACACCAGGTAACGTGCCCCAGCTGTACGGTGAGCTGAACAGTGACTCACTTGATCCGTGGCCATTATCAACAATTTCACCAAAGGAGCTGAAGTCCCCCTAAAACGAAAAGGAGAGAGTAAAACCCACTCAGGCTGTAGTTTACGTTGATGATTCATTGATTTTAAGAGTGCTCAATGATTAAGCATTCATTAGAGCCTTGAGCCACAAGACAGGAAACCAAGAAAATCAAGAAAAATGACTGTGCACCGTTAATAGCACTTAACTCTTGTTTGGTGTATGTTGGCAGGGGGTCCATCAGAAGGCAAGCTGATCCCAGGGGACGAGATCATCATGATTAATGATGAGCCAGTCAGTTCAGCACCCAGAGAGAGGGTTATTGACCTTGTCAGGTATGACCACACACTAAGGTGAGATGCCAATTGCCTGCTTTTAAACCCGTTGTCCGTCACTGTGCAGTGCCTATAGAGAAAAAGTGATCTTAATTAATTGCAAATATAAAACACATTTTTACATAAGTATTCACCCCCTTTGATAGGAGGCACCTAGAAATCACAGAATTAGCTAAATTGAGATCACACGTGTGTAGTCAAATGGTTTGTAGTATAGTTACATGTGCATCTGGAGACAGTATTGTCAAGTAAACCATGACAACAAAGGAAAACAACTGATTGAAAAGCACAACAATCCATCAGTGGATGCATACGAGATAATATCAGTGTCCAAAAGACGCCCAAGGGAGGTGAATACTTTAAGCACTGGAATTAGTCCATCACTGTACTTAGGTTTAATTTCTTTAATTTTGTTTGTTTTTATTATAATAAAACATATCATTTAATTACCCATTTTTAATGGTACATTCAGCCACCTGCTCCATTCACCATGATTTAGCTGTATGCTGGTGTTATTGTTTCTTCATGCGTCTCATTAGATTAATATCACTGACACAGTTGAGTGGCTGGCTGTGAGCATTTGGTCCTTGTATGACCTGTGCGGCAGTCTGTAAACAGTACATTAAGCACAGGGAGAAGTGCCCATGTGGCCATTCCTTCACAGCTCCTGTGGCCTTGAATGAGCTCAGTCTCTGCAGTAAAACTCAAGGCAAGACAGGCCTGCCAGGAGCATGACTGGGGCACAGTGTTCCTCCTGCTGCCGTCTACCACGATCTTTTTTTATTTAGTTTTGTTTAAATCTCTAATAAAAATTTAATCTTTCATTAAAAATATGTTTTGTGTCTTGCAGGAGCTGCAAGGAGTCTATATTGTTGACCGTCGTTCAGCCGTATCCAGTAAGTTTCTCCATCTTCTATGAATGAAAATGAGGGCATTCCAATAGACTGTTTGTGTGTTTGCGGGGCTGATTTTTTGTTGATTCTATGAAAGCAAGTCAATAATCATGCCATATGTTTGTGCTGGCACTGTATCAGTAATGCCTTTGCTGAGTGTGAGAGCCCCGCTAACTCACAGGGAGTCCAGTCACTGCAGTCTTTCCAAGTCTTCTCATTTTGTAGCGTCAGATCCTTGCAAGACCTCAGATGAACCTGCCACATCAACATTTACAGTCAAGGAGCACCAGATGGTGGTGAACACACAGTGCCATGAGCATATATTCGGCCTTTGTTTACAGTTCACATAATGTTCACATAATAAGACGGTGCTCACAGAAAATGACATATACTGAATGAAAACTGCTAATTCTCTATACACTGTGACAGTAATTATCATGTGTTATACCATGCAAAATTTCCTAAAATGTGAAAATGTGTAATGTCTAAATACATCCACTCAACGTGCATTTGAATTACCATTATGTTCATAGTGTTTCAGAAGCTCAGCATGATGAGTGTTTAGTAGCTTTTTTTGAATAAGGACTTGATTTGCAGAAAAACATGGGTGTAGTATTCCACAATACTCAGAGCACCAAGCAGCTCTTATAATCTAGCCTATAATTGCTTCAGTTTACTAGCCATTTCTTTGCAGCCTCAATGACACACCGGCAGTGAGGGTGTCCTCCCTCTTATGCCCTCATACAAAACCACCTTAATTGCATCAGCAGCAAGTGGAGAAATGGGAGGTTGTCATGTTTCAAGAAGCGAACATGTCCTTGTGAAGCTGAAAAAATACATGACTCATCTCTAGACTAACTGATTGTCCTTTAAATCTTTTTTCCCCTCTTCTTTCCCTCCAAAAGTCGCCCAAATCGGCATTCATCAGCGCAGCCAAAAAGGCCAAGTTAAAGACTAATCCTGTTAAAGTCCGCTTCGCTGAAGAGGTCATCATCAATGGCCAGGTCCCCGTAAGTCACACTGGACACTGATTCATTCAGTACACATCAAGGCTCTGAACAGGAGACGACAGCAGCAGACTTCTAAACCCTAAAAGCTGGCATAGAGCAGAGTGGAAATATTAGAAATCACTAACTGTAAAATGAAGACACGCATGAGCAGGAAAGGATCCTCCTCTTCATACTTCTTTTCATCACACTACCATCACGGGGATGAAATAGAGAGCATGTGGGTATGATTGACAGGAAAAAGAGGGGCACTCTCCCAGTGGGCTTCCCTGATTTGTCAGATGTGTCACACAGGGAAGAGTTTTTTTAAGAGAGCAACAACAAAGTCAGAAGACTATCAGGGAGCAATATGCTCTTGAGCACAAAGGGCAGCATCATACATAAAAGCAGACAGTGATTATTAAGGAAGATGCATCATTGTCTTACTTTCACTACTATTTTGGCTCAGTGAAAAACGTCATGGAAATTAAATATAATGTGTAAAAGAAGCACAATAGATCACACACATGTTTAAAGACATACTTTTGGGAAATATGCTAATTGTTTTATTGCTGGAAGTTAGATGAGATAATCAATACCACTCTCATACCTCATCTGTATATCTGTTAAACATAAATCAACCTACCAGCATCTTTAAAAGCTCACTAATTATGTTATATATTGTTTGTTTAGTGTGTAAAAACATGTGTCTCTATAGGACTATATGCTAAGCCAAGCTAACTGTCTCCTGGAAGAAAGAAAGCAAAACTGTGTATTTCCTTTATTTTTCTATTTTTCCTTTATTCCTCAGTCATTCCCATATGGAATTCTTGAATGTGTTATCATTTTCTCCCACGGGTCCTCTAATTAGAGACTTTTCAAACCCAAATCCCAAGCACCTAAACTACAGTCTATAAACACAGCTTTCAATTAGAAAAAGTGAAATGTGTTGATCAAATGATTCTTATTCCATCCTCAGGAAACGGTGAAGGACAACTCCCTTCTTTTTATGCCAAATGTTCTGAAGGTGTACCTGGAGAACGGGCAGACTAAATCATTTAAATTTGACAGCAACACATCCATTAAGGTAGGTGCCATAGAAGAATCTTGCTTCACTATAAAATGCAGTTGCATAATCTAAAGTGATGTTCAGCTTAAATGTTGAATGTTATTCACAGTTGCACTGTACATTATAAAGTGCCAACTCCTCTCTTTGCTTGGCCTTCAGAATGTTATCTGAACTTGAATTATGATTCAAACAAAAAGCATTTTGAACTTAATTAACTGTGGAGCAGGGAGCACTTGGTCAGCAATTTCCTTCATTAGTTGAAATTTTGATTATAACTTCAGTAGTGTTCAGATTTTTTTATGTGTGTTCAGCTGTGAAAATGATTTATATTCACGGCATTGAGCTGAGCGTGAGCAGGCTGCTGCATCTGCACGGTTCTCATATTGTATTAACTATGACTTTGTCCGTGTGAAAGGATGTGATCTTGACCCTGCAAGAAAAGCTATCCATTAAGAGCATTGAGCACTTCTCTCTGATGCTGGAGCAAAGAGCTGAGGGATCTGCCAGCAAACTCATGCTCCTGCATGAGCAGGAGATGCTAACTCAGGTGAGGCACTAAACAGGAGAGATGTAGTTAAATAATAGACTTGATAATAATACACCTTGTTTTCAGTAGACAGTATTTTTGTATTCATATAACAGGAGCAAAACTGCAGGCTCTTCATCACTTTGACTGGCTAAACATGAAAAATGCATGAATAGTTTGACATTTTGGGAAATATTTACTTTTCTTGCCAAGAGGTGGAGAAGATCAATACTCAATAATCTCTGAAATAGTCCCCCAAGAAAACCACTGCTTCTGTTTTTACACTTAAGTTTTGATCTACAGAGGTGCTTGTAGGTGCTGTTTTATCTTTGAACAGAGCCAGGGTAGCTGTCTCCTTGTTTCCAGTCTTTATGCTATGCTATGCTATGCTATGCTAAGCTAAGCTAACTGATCCTGGCTTCAGCTACATATTTTAATGGACAGATATGAGTGGTATTGATCTTCTCATCTAATTCTCAGCAAGTAAGCAATGAAATTATTTTCCAAAATGTCAACCTATTCCTTGAATCGCTGTCAAAGTTGTACATTAATCCTGACATAATTTTAGCTCATATCAAATTTTGCCTGTAATGCACTGTCCGTGTCTATCTGAAAAAAAGAGAGAGCAGTGTAAGCACTTGATAGAAGACATTTTGCAGAAGCAAACTCTTGTCTTATGGGACCCTTCTTATCTTCCGGCTTATGCTCTAGGTGACACAGAGGCCAGGGTCACACAAGATGAAGTGCTTTTTTCGCATCACTTTTGTCCCAAAGGATCCCGTGGACCTGCTTAGGAGAGACGCAGTAGCATTTGAGTACCTCTATGTTCAGGTAAATATCAGCAAATGCAGATAACACTGCAGAAAAACACACAATATAGTTTAGTTGAAAGTTTCTGAAGATGCTAATCTGAAAACACCTCAAGACAGGGACCTAGTCTAGGCTTTAGGCTATAATAATAACCTCAGCAAGTAGTAGGTGTGTTGTTGTCTTGCATTTTGTGATAAGAAACTTAAGTGTAACCTCCTCCTCTCCCTCTCCGGCTCCTCCAGAGCTGTAATGATGTGGTATTGGAGAGATTTGGGTCAGAGCTGAAATACGACACGGCCCTCCATCTGGCTGCCCTGCAAATGTATATTCTAACCATCAATACCAAACAGTCCCAGAAAGTTTCCCTCAAGTATATTGAGTAAGTAGATTGGATTTCACATTGTGCCATGTGGGCTGGAGGTCATTTTGTTGTTTCTCATGACTTATTCCAGTTGTATAGGCTGCTGCTGTACAATAAAGCAAAAAAAGATCTCACTAGTATTGTTCTACTGCAGTGTCAGAAGATACATCAATGCTGGTTAGTTAATGATTCTCTGGGTGAGGTAAATTGATCACCGGTCAAGAATGATGACTTGAGTTGAGTTTGTCACAGTGATTGAGTGACCTTCTTTAATCTTTATGAATTGTGGGTCCGCAGGAAGGAGTGGGGTCTGGCACTGTTCCTGCCTCCTGCTGTGCTGTCTAGCATGAAAGAGAAGAACATCAAAAAAGCCCTTACTCACATTCTCAAAACCAACCAGAACCTGGTGCCGCCTGGTAAAAAGGTAGTGTGCCACCTCTTCCTTTTTTCTCTCTCCACCTCTGTCTTTGCTTTGCACTACATCTGAAAGGACTCGTGACTACCACCTAGTGGAGTGTTGAATTTCAAAATAATGGTGCTGGGTGGTCGTTTGAACGGATCATTTTGTACACCTTACATCACATTCTGCTGTGAATAGCTCATTTAAATGATTCCAGTCTGTATCTTATCCTACATCTCTTGTTTCCTATCCATTCCAGCTGACCGCCTTGCAGGCAAAGGTCCATTATCTTAAGTATCTCAGTGACTTGAGGCTGTACGGAGGACGGGTGTTTAAATCCACACTAATTGTGAGTGAAACCGTCTTGCTATATCACATCATATGCAGCCAGCATGTGACACAAAAAACACACCAGTTCACACTCTGTTCTTTTACACACAGAACGTGATATATGTGCTGACTCTCTCTTCCCTTTTTACAGCAAGGCGAGAAGCACACAGAGGTGACGTTGCTGGTGGGGCCGAAATATGGCATCAGTCATGTGATTAACACCAAAACCAACCTGGTGGCACTTCTGGCAGACTTCAGTCATGTCAACCGCATTGAGATGTATACAGAAGATGAGAACAGAGTTAGAGTTGAACTACATGTCATGGACGTCAAGGTTAATAAACCTTCTGCCTTTTTTAAATATGCATATGCTGACTGGTTTTGTGAATATTTTCTATGGTTTTACCCAAACAACACCAAGTCTGTTTAGCAGTCATTATAGCCTCATTCTACAGCCGCACCCTCCCATTTATTTTGCATTCATTGTCATCTGCTTATCTGCCTCTTTCACAGCCCATCACTCTCTTAATGGAGTCTGTTGATGCCATGAATCTGGCCTGTCTGACTGCTGGCTACTACAGATTACTGGTGGACTCTAGGCGCTCCATCTTCAATGTGGCCAAAAACACAGACAGTATGGAAACAAGTATGTCTGAAATTCACAAGATGACTCATCAGAATGTGTGAAAATAGACCTGTTACAATTTTGATTCCTCTTTGCAGGCCATGCTGCGAGAGTAAAGCAGAACTACCAGGCCATTGAGTGTACATACAGCACACCGCATAAAGGATGTGAAGACAGAAACCATCAGAGGTGCAGCCAAGATTATTCTGACCAGGAGTGTGAATACCTCGACCACGGGAGATGTGAAGGCCAACCAGTGTACATAACCGAGATCCACCAACCCCAGCACTCGATGCACATGGCAGAAAGAGTGGAGTGCTGCAGAATCCCTTGCTCCCAAATGTATTCCAACGTACCAAGGCCCAAACCTCAAGACTCCTCCAGGAGTGCAAAGGTCTCCTTCATATTTGGAGATCCACCCTTAGACAGTATAAACCCCCAAAATCTGGGCTACCAAAGACTGATGGATGAAGGCCCAGAGATTCTAGACAATCACAGCCACATGTATAGGCGTCTGGAGGAGGACTTTAAGATGATGGATGCCATAGAAGACGGGGACGGTTATCAGTACTCCACCAAAATCTTTGGTCCTACCGAATGCATCGAGGAGCCGCTGCTGCACGATATCTGCTACGCCGAGACAACAGATGACGCAGAGGATGAGGATGACATCAGCTGTGAGGAGGACATGGTGATGAGTGACATTGACAAGCCTATGTTTCTCTCGCTCTCAGGGTCCAGCGATGACATCATTGACTTGACCTCCCTCCCTCCCCCACCGGAGGGTAATGACGAGGAGGACAATGACGTACTGCTGCACTCTCTTAACCTGGCCATCGCTGCTCCTCCTCCCGGCTTCAGGGACAGCTCCGACGAGGAGGAGCAGCAGGGGGCCGGGACTCGGGCCCAGGGGGCCTGCAATGATATCCCAGTGTCTCTCATAGATTCAGTGCCCACACACAGAGCAGAGGGCCACGGGGAGCCTCTAAACGATGCAGTGGTGTCCACCTTACAGGCACTCGAGGCCCTCGCTGCATCTGAGGAACAGAGTCCAGCACAGTCCGAGAGTAGCACAGGTTCTCCTTACACTATTGTAACGTTCATCCATTAACACTGCATGTGTTCCAGCCATTCACTTTTGATTTGTTGTTGTTGATTTTTTTCAATAAAGCCCATTTTGTTCTATGTTTCCATTTGTGTGAGTATTTGTTCATTCATTTGAGCATGCAAACAGTTGTGTTCATCACAGCATCATTCATTTTGTCATGATTTGTTGTTTTGAGGATCATTTTGTTTTCTCAATTGCACGCTGCACAATGTCAGATGTTGGTTGCTAAATATAGAAAAAAATTAAAACAAATAATTTTATTGTCATCCACAGCTTCTCTATCAATATTTTATAGATGCTTTAATTTGGCACTTGGGATGTTATAAGTGATGTATACTTATTATTGTTAGTGTTAGTTCAAAGTAATCATTCACTCCTCCCCCCTCCCCTTCATGCTGAATTACAATGTCATTACCATGATCTATATTGGACTCATTCCCTAATCTGTGATATTTTTCCCGTGCCTCAGATGAAGTTGTTAATGAGATGTTTGTCTTTCTGTGGTACACAGGTGTAGAAATATCACGAGCATTTAGTCCAGAGTCCTCAGATTCTGGCAACGAGACAAATTCCTCTGAGATGACTGAGAGTTCCGAGCTGGCCACTGCTCAGAGACACTCAGAGAACCACCTGAGGATGCATGTAGCCATGGCAGAAGGCTACCACGCCGTGAATGAGGAAAAGACAGAGGTCACTGCGCCTAGCGACGGTGGCGCAGCAGCTATGCAGTACAATCCCCAGGAGCGTCAAGAGGAGGAGGCGAAATCATCTGCCGTCACCTCATCCCAGATTTTTCACTCAGATGGTGGTGAGATGGAGCCAGAGACAATGGAAATAAAATCCGTCAGTGAATACTTCACTAAGATGCACATGGGCTCAGTAATGAGCAGGCAGAGAGGAAAGCAGAGGGAGGCAGAGAGCAGAATCCAAGCAGATACCTGTGAATCCTCTGATAGATCTCACGTTACTCAAGACTCAGCTAAAGAGGAGCCCCCTCATCTCGTTGGGAAGTATAATGCTTTCACTGTGAGAGATTCCTATTATATGAATCAACTTGATCTGGGGCGAACTCACTTTAAAGACAGACATCAAATATGGCAGCAGAGAGTGCCTGGAAACAAAATGGCAGAAAATCTCTCTCCAGAATGTGGGAATGACTCACTGGCTTCCCACGCAAACAGGTTGACAGTAAAGGGAGAAAAACAGGACTCAGATGAAAGAAGCCAACACTTAAATGCCCATCTCAGCTCCCCGGCGAAAGGGCCCGTCCCTACAGAGGGAGATTCCACTTCACAGGATAATGAGCAGCAGCAAATGAAGATTGCGCCGTCCGAGCAAGACGTCACGAGGTTGTACGAATACCATGTGAGCAAGCGCATGTCGTCGATACAGAGTGAAGGCGTTCACTCTCTCCAAAGCTCACAGTGTTCTTCTATAGATGCCGGTTGTAGCACAGGCAGCAGCAGCTGTGTCACTCCCATGGATTCTCCCCTTTGTGCCACAGACAATATGCATGTACTGTCAGAGTCCTCACTCAAGGGGCTGAGTTATGTAACTGCTGAGGAGAGAGCTTACGGACCCCCAGGTCAGGGGAAGGTTGGCCATCCCATGGACCCCACCCTGCTGAGGAAGATCCATGCAGCAACCAGTGCTGAGCCTGGGTTTGGGATTACACGGGACGGTAGTCACAGAATGCCCAAGATAAAAGAAACCACAGGTAAAACTAAACAGGAGGGTGCTCTCTCTTATCTGTCAGTGTAAATGCATGAAAGGAACTAAAGGGACATTTACTGAAGTCACTCACTGCATGCAAATAAGGGCAGGAAAATATTTGTATATTGTCAGTTCACACAAATTACAAAACACATTTGCTCATCTACTTCTTGGCATACAGCCATGCAGATAGTTTTATCTGCTCAGGTTCTAAATTAACTGTCTCTGTGACTTCCATTGGATTTTTGGAGGCTGTACTTTGCACAGTGCTTTGAATTAACATTAACGCCAGCATGCTAACATATTCACAATAACATACTGGTGCTGATGACCAACAGATGTTAACAGTGGATTACGTGGATTTTATTATTATTATTATTATTATTATATGTTTCTTTTTTAGTTTTTATATTGCTGTGAGAGTTACATATTAAGTTTAATTCAGAGACATTGCATGGGGATGAAAAGGAAAACCTTGGCAAATAAATTTTGAATAATAATAAAATAAAAACTATCTGCATGGCTAGAAAAATATTTCTGTAATTTGTATGGACTGACTAAACCCTCTGGCTCTCAACCTGAGGGTCGGGGTAAGGGTCCCAAGATGAATCAGATAAATAGGGATAAGGTGATTAAAAAATCTATTTATACTTTGAAATTCTTTCATTTTCTTTCATTTTTTCCCTCTAAAATCCTTCAAATTAAACAACCTGTGACCAGGGGTTGCAAGTATGTGATGTTTTAAGGGGTCACTACCCAAAAACATTGGGAACTGCGACATCAAAAAATTGTCTTGCCCTTAGTTGCCTGCAATGTGGACATTTCTTAAAATGTCACTTTTGTTTTCCTCCAGTTGAACCTTTAGCAATTTGGAAATATGCAAATTCTGAAAAAGATTATTATTACAGATTTCTGTATATCTATCACATATAAGTATATAAGCGTTATTATTAAAATGTATGAAAGTTTATTACAGATGAACATGTGATGTAGGGAGATGCTTAACAGTTCTCTTTGTTTTCCTACTACCCCTAGTGTAGCTTGCACACAGCGGAAGAAGGTTGGGGAAGAGTCATCTTTAGCTCTCTGTAATGAGACCAGTACCACCACCACAACCATGTCACCATCATCATTAAGAAGTAGCACAGAGCCCAGTGGGCTAACACAGGCCAGCCCCGAGTCCGACCCACACGCCCTGGCTTTCTCCTCAAGCAGATCTTCATGCGACCCAACAACAGGCAGCCTCAGGAAGCCACGCAGGGTTCGGATGCTCAGGAGGAGCTGGAGCACCATAATGCCAGGTTCCAGGAGCTTAGAAGCACTGTTAGATAAGACCAAAGCCACACTTACAGGGAAGAGTCGTGGTCAGAATTTCCAGTCTCAAGATCCCCCAAAAGTTCAGAGGATATTCTCTCCCAAAACCTTGCCCAAGAGCTTTTCCCAGGGTTCAGTTGCGTCTAACTCATCTGGTAGAAGGCTGCTAACAGGAGCCTCCCTCTTGCTGCCAGAGTCAACAGCACCAAGGCTGGATGCAGGTACATGGAGGTGCCGTGGACCATTCAGTCACTGCTTCCTGCGGAGAAAGACAAATGCTGATGGTGATGATAAAGACAGAGAGATGCCCTCACGTGCTCTGTTCTCTGTCAGCTCGGTTTCTTTCAGTCGCAAAGACAACGCAATCATGAAAGCTGACTATGAAGCCGGGCGGAGTAACATGGCCACGGCTATGAATGACATGAGCCTCAAAGCAAGGCTAGCTCGTGTAAATTCCATGAAGGGAAAAACCTACAGCCTTCACACAGGGTTCGCACTTGCACGGAAGGATGCCTTAGAGATGGTCGGCGTGTTGCGTTCCAGCGTCGGCTGCTTGTGCAGAAGCGGGAAGCCTGAGGTCAACAAGGATGACCTGGATTCATTCTCCCAGCTGCTTTTCATGCAGGCCAAAGTGCTGAGCGGCGCCTGCAGTCAGATGGCTGTGGAGTACAGCAGCCCAGAGGAGTTACTGCTCACTCTGACACACAGCTTTCACACACTCTGCTGCCTGACGCAAGCCTGCATGTCACTTGTGGAAGGCCTGAGCACCGAGAGCGAGCGGCGCAAGGTGGTAGCCAAGGTGGACGAGGTTGTCATGAACTACGTGTGTCTGCTGAAAGCTGCTGAGTTGGCTTCGGGAAGCTCCCCCAGTGACCAAAGTGTGAATGCATTGACACATCACTCTGCCACCATGTCTGCTATTATAAACACACTAACTCACTCACTGACAACACTGCTCAACAAATAAACTGTTGTTATTTTGTCCTGATTATTGATTTAAAGCCATACATAAGAGACATAGGTTTTACGACCAATGTGAACTGCTGTGAAAGAAAAAATACTTGCCTTGTGTATACAATATTTTATTATGTAAAGTAAAAGTAAAATTATATGAAACATTACAGTTTTAAATAGAATATATAAAGAAGCATATGACCCTCCTCTCAAGTATATTATCTAATATTACATAATAGGGATTCTTTTAATGATTTATTGGTTATATTAGGGGCATAACATGTAGATTATTACAACCTTATTAGTACCTTGTTTATAAATTGTAAAACTATATATTATGTTGGATAAATGCATTGCATACACTATATACAGCTCTAGACAAGTCATTGCACAGGATAAGACATGATCAAATAAAAGTAACGCATATGACTTTTTCATCTGCTGGATTCACGTTAATTTAAAGAATACTTCACACATGAACACTGAGTACTTTCCTGTTATTTTTTGTCATCATTAAAAAGATTAAAACTTTTAAAAAGCCTTATCTCAAATAATTTTGTCTGTGTTTTAATAAACATGAGTTTGGTTGTGTTTATTACCAACTTCTCATAAAATACCTTTACATTTGTATCTTATTTTGCTCGTCGTACATGCAAATTCATAATAATTTATTCTCTTTTCAGTTGATTCCTGAAGCATTAAAACAGAATAACAGGCCGAGAGAATGACTTCTCTAGATTATACAAGTTTGCTGCTAAAATTTCATTATTTATACAAAAAAGTTGCAAGACCAATGTTTATTTTCATAACTATATTTAATAATTCATGATTTTACTATTTACTCAAGCCTGAGTGGTGGTAAAGCTTTTTGCATTAATGATGATGATGGCCCATTTCACTTACAGGGCGGGAGAGAGTGTTTGCACAGCGTTATGCGCTCATGCCTCTGAGTGTCTACAGCCATGCCAGCAGCTCTGTGAGGCTGTACTTTGACCTAAATGCTAATGTCATGCTGACATATGCTCACTGTGACAGTGGCAACGTGTTGATGATTAGCAGGTAATGTTTTCTTTGTTCATCATCTTGGTTTAGCTTGTTAGTAAGCTAACCTATGCTAATTACCACAAAACACACGGAACTGTTGAGTCTGATGGAATGTAATTAGTTAGTTAGATATCCTGCAGGGAACATGAATGTCTGAATCAAATTTGATGGCAAACCATTAAATAGTTGTTGAAACATTTCAACCTCAACGTGGTGCTAGAGGAGAAGTCAGGGGGTCACCGATGTCTGTACAAAATTGTGTGACATTCAATCAAGTAGATGTTGATATATTTCACAGGAAGTGAAAACTTTGACCTTCCAGTGACACTAGAGGTAGAGCCAGTGAATCACCAAAGTCAGTAAAATCCAAATTGCAAGTCATCCAAACTAAAAAACTAAAATGTCAGCCTCATGGTGGTGCGTCAGAAAAAGTCAGAGGATCACCAAAGACAGTAGAAATCATCCCGTGGGGACCATGAATATCTGTAGAAATTTTCATTGCAATCTATTTAATAGTCGTTGAGATATTTCAGCGATGGCTAGACAAGCACACAGCGTCATTCCTAGAGCCATGCTGTATGGCTAAAAGACACTTTGTTATCATGCCTTTTTGCTGTGAAAGAGGATGATCAGGTGGACGCTATTTCTAAAACTACAGTGCCAATTCCTGCTTTGGGTTTCTCAAATAAATAGCCACACATACTGTCTGGACAGGTCACGTCATAGAGCCGCAAAGTGGCGACAGATTAAGGAAGAAGATTCTGTACGGTTCCAAAATAGCATGTTTACCAGGCAAGCTGTTAAACCTCAACCCAAGTATAGGTTTCAATTTCCCCTGCAGTCTAATCAGAAATGAAACATCTATTTTTACTGGTGGTTGAATATCAAGAATAATCCACTCCTCTAGCTGTGCTAGTATAATGTACTATAAGGGGCAAAATGATCCTTCTGTCCTTAAGGACAGCTCTTCACAGTCATCTAAGCATGAAGCACATGTTCGCCACACTATTTAACATTCAACAGCAATCTGTCAACCATTATCACACAGTCAGCATAAAAGATGGAAGATTTGGATGTGTGTGGTTTGTGACAATAGGGAAGTGATGCTGGTTAATTATACACATTATGGGCTAACCCAGCCACCTGTTACTTTCATCCCATCACCTAACATCAGTGTTACAGTGTTCTTTCAGTACACGATCCAACTTGACAACATTGCAGGACCTCTTTTCAATCTCTCACGTGAACAATGTTCTTCCACCTGGTAAGTATCAGTTACCATTGTTCGTATACTGTATGGTATTATAATCGCATTCATACTGTATGTAAAGTAATGGCAGTTTGGCTTGTATGAGAACTCTATTCGTGGTTGTATTATGAAGTAGCATGCTGTACATACCTAACTGAAAATGGGGATTTTAGCATGTGATTCTGCTTAATATGTGCATTTGTTTTTAGTTATGTAACAGTTCCTAGTTGCATTATGAAGTATCCTGTACATATATGACTCAAAATGTTGATTTTAGCACGTGTTTCTGCTTGTTGTGTGTATTATTAGCCTTCCACCTGCACACATTGCTCAGTGAACCGCTGTGTGTTTCTATACAGATGTGTGTGTCACTGCTGGGCCTGTGGTGTTGTCTCTCCATATCGACAGCGAGCATTTCTTACCCAAAAACTCTGCCATGCGATGTTAGTAAGACCAGCAATGGGAGTGTGGTGAAGGTGGACTGCACTGAGAGAAGTCTCAAAGATGTCCCCTTTGGCATCCCCAGAGACACCACCAACCTGACGCTCACCATCAACCATATTCCTAAATTAAACTCCTCCTCCTTCCAAGGTCTGGAAAACCTGACAGAGATTGACATGAGGTGCAACTGTGTGCCCATCAAAATCGGTCCCAAAGACCGCATGTGCACTCAGAGTGTGACAATAGAAGAAAATACCTTCACCAGCCTGAGGAATCTGCGAGCGTTATATTTAGATGGCAATCAGCTCTACAGTATACCTAAAGGCCTTCCTTCAAATCTGATCCTGCTGAGTTTGGAAGTCAATCATATTTATAGTATTTCTAAAGCAAACCTCTCTGAGATCAGAAATATTGAGATGCTTTACCTCAGTCAAAACTGCTATTATCGTAACCCATGTAATGTTTCCTATGAGATAGAGGATGGTGCGTTTTTGCAGCTTAAGAATTTAACATTGTTATGTCTCAAGTCAAATAACTTATCCTTTATTCCGCATCAACTACCCACAAGTCTGAAAGAGTTGTATCTCTACAACAATAACATTCAAAAAGTCACTGATGAGGATTTCAAAAACCTAACAAACCTTGAGATTCTGGATATTAGCGGAAACTGCCCTCGATGTTACAACGCTCCTTTCCCATGCAACCCATGCCCGAATAATTCACCGCTTAGTATCAGCCATACGGCTTTTAAAATGTTGACAAAGCTAAAGACGCTCCGCCTGCACAGTAACTCTCTGACACGTGTGCCATCCGAGTGGTTCGCCAGCACGAAGGAGCTCAGGGTGCTTGATCTCTCATCAAACTTTTTAGCGGGAGAGATAGGAGTGACTGGCTTCCCACATTTCCTGGGCAAACTGGAAGAACTGGACCTTTCATTTAACTATGAGCTGCAGAGGTATCCTCAAACACTGAGACTGAGCTGCAGTTTCTCTTCCCTCAAATCCCTTAGAATTCTCAGAATCAAGGGCTTTGTGTTTCAGCAGCTAAAGCCAGAGAGCATTGCTCCTTTAAAACCTCTAACAAATTTGGAGGTTGTAGATCTGGGTACAAACTTCATTAAAATGGCAAACCTTAGTATTCTGATGGAATTAAAAAGCTTTAAAATCATCAGTCTGTCTGACAACAAAATATCCTCCCCCTCTGACGGCCAGGAAACTGTCGGTTTCTCTGAGGGAGAGCCCATGCAATGGTCTCCCATGCTGGCTGCTGCTCAGTACCAAAATAAGGAAGTGAGAGAGATTCATTACTTCAGATATGATGAATATGCACGCAGCTGCAAATACAAAGATAAAGAACTTGGAGTTATTACATCATTTGTCAACAGGGAATGCAGTCAGTTTGGCAAAACCCTGGATGTGAGCAGAAACAACATATTCTTCTTGCATTCAAGATTTTTAAATCTTGGAGAGCTGAGATGTCTCAATCTGTCTGGAAATGCAATGAGCCAAAGTCTGAATGGCTCTGAATTCACCAATCTGAAAAATTTACAATATCTGGACTTCTCCTCAAATCGCCTTGACCTGCTCTACTCTACTGCATTTCAAGAGCTGACAAATCTGGTCATCTTGGATATAAGTAACAACAACCATTATTTTGAGTCTGAGGGCTTGACTCACATGTTAAATTTCACAAAAAATTTGAAAAATCTCAAGGTCTTGATGATGAACCACAACAAGATCTCTACTACCACCAACACTGAGCTGGAGAGTCAGTCTCTAGAGAGGTTAGAGTTCAGGGATAACCGGTTAGATATGTTGTGGAGAGACGGGGACACCAGATATGTCAATTATTTCAAGAAATTACTTAATCTGACAGTCCTCGACATCTCTCACAACAACCTCAATTTCCTTCCACGGGAAGTGTTTAGGGGTCTGCCAGACAAACTGTCTGAGCTATACATGAAAAACAACAGACTAAATTCATTTGAGTGGGAGAATTTACAATTTCTGAATTCTTTGCAAGTCTTAGATCTCAGTGGAAACAGCTTAACTACTGTTCCAGACCTGCTGTCAAACTGTACCAGATCTCTCAAAAAGCTAATTTTACATAAAAACCAAATCCTAAAACTCACACCAGATTTCCTCAAGGATGCCTACGGCTTAAAATATCTGGATCTTAGTTCTAATCACATACAGCACATTGACAAATCTAGCTTTCCAGATAATGTTGTTAATCAGATGGAAAAACTGCTTCTGCACAACAACAGATTCCTGTGCAGTTGCAGTGCCACTTGGTTCATCACGTGGCTCAACAAGACCACAGTAACCATCCCCAAACTGGCCACAGATGTCTTGTGTGCCTCTCCCGGGGCACAAAGAGGTCATCCCGTGATCTCAGTTGACCTGCTCGCCTGCCAGCACAGCTACCTGTCAATCATCCTCTACACCCTCATGACTTCCCTCATCCTCAGCTTCCTCACCCTGTCCATCTCCAGCCACCTCTTCCTGTGGGACGTCTGGTACATCTACCACTTCTGCAGGGCCAAGATCAAAGGTTATAACCGCCTGTACTCCCAAAGCTCCGTCTATGATGCCTTTGTGATCTATGACAAGGACGACCCTGCAGTGACGGAGTGGGTGATGAAGGAAATGTGTGTCCATCTGGAGGACCGCGGAGACCGTCACCTGACGCTGTGTCTGGAGGAACGGGACTGGATCCCCGGATGCCCCCTGATCGACAACCTCTCCCAGAGCATCCACAAGAGCAAGAGGACCGTTTTCATTCTCACCAACAGATATATTAAGAGTGGCAACTTCAAGACAGCTTTCTACATGGCCCACCAAAGGCTAATGGATGAAAAAAATGATGTCATCGTCCTAATCTGCCTGGAGAAGGTACCTTGTGATTCAAAGTACCTGAAATTAAGGAAGAGACTGTATAAAAGGTCTGTGCTTGAGTGGCCAACAAACCCTCAAGCCCAGCCATACTTCTGGTTCAGCCTGAGAAGTGTATTAGCAACGGAAAGCCACAAACAATACAACAATCTCTTCAAAGAGACACTGTAAATAGAACAATATAATGTAATGCATAGTTCCTTCTTTATTTTAAATGTTCTTAATGTACCTCTGTGTATAAATTACACTGTGAACTTTTTAATCTAAGAACAACAATATTCTTGGCGCTCTTTGCCATCTCCACAGAGGGTTATAACTTTCATTTGTGCATGAGATGACCATAAAACTGGCAACATGTCATGAAATGGGGAAGTGAAACAGATGTACTTCTTCAATTTGCATGCTTCTTTGTGTCAGTGCCTATCTTGTTGAGGGAACTATTCATTTCATTGCTGTTATAAGCAACTTCAGCAGCTGGGAATTTTTTTTTTAATGTGTCTTGTATATTTAAGAGGAAGAACACAGACATTAAGCGGTATTCTGACTTGTGTTGACTTGATAACACACTAGACAGGCATTGTTTTTACAAATAATAATTAATTCAAGGATCACAAGGAATCAATACAGTACATGCACAATGGTGAGTTTTGTTAAAAGAGGTTTCTTTGTACTTTTCAAAGCTATAGAATATATATATATAATGTATATATAGTATAATATATATGCTACATATTGTATGTATAGCAGAGAATACATTTATTGTTTACTCATCAGAGATCTTCATCTGCATGTATTATGGATTTACTGGTTACCTGCATGTGTTTTTAATTGGATGTTTCTGTAATATAATCGTGTTTGTAATTGTATAATGATTTTGTGCTTCTAAGATTTTGATCAACTTAGAACTGCACAAGAAAAATACCTGGACTAGCTGTGTATGCATTTATTTAATACCAAATACACTGAAACTTTATTTTATAATGGAGTGTTCTACATTAAATACAGTACATTAAAGTTTACTCACAACTGTGTGGAAAATAAATATATATATCATATCATTTATTTATTCTGTCAGTATCACCTTCCATTTTTAAAGAGTAACATGCAGCGGTCTGCTAGTGGATTATTGTATACAAAGTCATGCTGTGCAGCCAAACATTGTTCAAAGCCAAAGAATTCTAGTTTCTAAATGTGTTAGGCTGACATTTTGGGATGTGACCATTGACAGTATATATTAGGATGTAACGCAATTCAGTGCAATGTAGAGCTGGAACAAGTTGATATAGAATATATCAGTCTGGAATAAAACACTTTAAACCACCTACAGATATAGTGACACTAGATGTTAAAGTGAGGTGTAGCTTTTGGAGGAAGTAATAACTTACTAAATTAAAAATAAAAAAATTCATAGCGATAAAAAAAGACAACTTAGTTCAGTACACTCTGGGGTTTTGCCGCTACAGCCTTAATTAGTCTGGTATGACCAATAGCTTATGGTGACTAATATTAGCTAACATTGGTAAAGTTCAGATAAATACTGTTGTCTTTCAGTCAAGCCACTGACTTTATAACTTTTGTCTACTTGTGCTACTTTTGCAGTAGCTTTTAGTATTTACCATTAATTGTCATTTGTGGCCATAAAAATCATAGCTGAGCTAAAGTTACATTATACACATACTGTAAGGGGGTTAACCATAGATTATACAGATAAAGTATACTAAGAGCAGTTATTCCACTTGGTTGATAATTTACAGACTACTGCCACCTGCTGGATACATTTTAAATTCTAAATCAATACTCAACACTATCCACACAATACTTTTAATACTAAAAGGATGGGTTCACAGTTTGTTAAAACAATAGTCTGGAGCCCATACATGTTTGAACATTTAAATAGGTTTTTCTTGCTGTAATCATTCCTCCTGTCTATACTGTACGATTGGAAGATATACATTTGACTAACTCAGACTCATTTTAGACTCACATTAACTTTTAGGAAGCAGTCTCTTAATGTTCCGTATGAACAGAAGGAATGATGAAGTTACAGTTACTCCATTTGACTATTTGTATTGTTTATCTACAGACTATCACATGTTGGATGCACGTGCTGCTGCTCTGTCTGTGTTGCCATTATGAGATCCAGCCTGCTGCGTGTAAGCCTGCATGGATGTCAAGGCAATTCCCTTGTGATGTCATACCCCACAATGTCACTAAGGTCCTGTTTGACTGTAAAGGGCGTCATCTGAAAAAAGTACCAAACGGTATAACTAATAATGCAACTGAGCTCAACTTATCGGAAAATTTCATAAAGAATGTTTCAGTTAAATCATTTTCTAACCTGCGGAATCTGACTCAACTCAATCTCAGCTGGGCGAACAAGAACAATGGACTGATCATTGCGGCAAATGCTTTCAAAAATCTGACAAACCTGCATGAACTGAAACTGACTGGCAATTCTCTGAAAGAAATTCCCGCCAATCTCCCTCTCAGTGTGACAGTCCTTGAGCTAAACAATAACAAGATTATGTCGCTGGATAACACCAGCCTTGTTGGCCTAACTAACGTGACACATTTGTGGTTATCCAGAAACTGCTACTTCTGGAATCCTTGTGGAAAACCTGTTAAGATTATGGATGACAGCTTTGCAGTAATGACCAATTTACAGGCTCTAGACTTGTCCTATAACAACTTAACTCAAGTTCCCAAAGGATTACCCCCATCATTGCTCTTGTTAAAGCTGGGTTCTAACAAAATACAGAACATATACGAAGATGATTTCCTTGGGGTGCAAAATTTAAAAACCCTACAAATACAAGGGAACTGTCCAAGATGTCAAAATGCTCCATATCCCTGTGTTCCTTGCCAAAATATGTCTATTCGTATCCATCCTAATGCATTTCACGGTCTGACACAACTTGAGACACTGAACCTGGGAGGAAACTCACTGAACCACCTGAATCCTTCCTGGTTTGAGAAGCTGAACAAGCTTAAACAATTGTTCCTGGCATTTAACTTCCTGCAAAAACCAATAACTGAGGAGGCAAAGTTTCTAACATACCTGCCCAGGCTAGAAAAAATTGATCTCTCGTTCAACTTTGCTCTCAAGTACTATCCTACGACATTAAATCTTTCAAAAGAGTTTTCAAAACTTGTGTCTCTTAGAACTTTGCACTTGGAGGGTTTGGTCTTCCAGGATATTGGGCCGGGCACACTCAGTTCTCTGTATGAGCTCAAAAACCTGTCGGCATTGAACTTAGGGACTAACTTCATTATTCACTCTGATTCCAAAATATTCAGCAAATTCTCCAACCTGAAAATGATATATCTTGCAGAAAACAGGCTGTATCCCATTCCAGTGCACAACCCCCCGCCTCCAAGTGAGGGGTACAATCAGGAGTCAGACCTTTCCATTTCACCGTTCCTAAAACCCCATCCAAAAGATTTCGCTTATGAGATATCACACAGCCTTATCAAGCAAGAGTGCTTTGACTCAGGACGGGTGCTAATCCTCAGCTCAAATAATCTGTTCTTCATTTCTCCAAAGCAATTTGAGGGCTACGGAAATATTGCATGTCTCAACCTCTCGGGGAATGGATTTTCGGCAGCACTTAATGGAACTGAGTTCTCCTTGCTGCCCAATCTGACATACCTGGACCTGTCATTCAATAAGATTGATCTGGCCTATGATTACGCCTTCAAAGAGCTAAGGAAACTACAAGTGCTAGACCTCAGTCACAATGCTCACTACTTTCAAGCTTTCGGGGTAACGCATAATTTAAATTTTACAAAAAATCTTCCCGTCCTGAGAGTGCTGAATATGAGTTACAACTCAATTTCCACATTGACGACAAAACAGATGTACAGCAAATCATTATCAGAACTTCGGTTTACGCATAATAATCTAGGGACTCTTTGGAAAGAAAGAGATGGCTCATATAAGTGTCTTTTTACTAATCTTACTAATTTGACCATTTTAGATATATCTAACAACAGAATTGCAAAGATTCCAGACAATGTTTATGAATATTTGCCCCATAACCTCACCACACTACACTTAAGTCACAACTCACTTACTGATTTTGCATGGGACAATCTGAGGTTTTTCCATCAACTTAAAAATTTATACCTGAGCTTTAATTCTTTAAGTAATGTGACAGTAATAAACTCAAACGTCACCCACACTTTGACTTTACTTGACCTGAGTCATAATCACATTTTCCACCTGGACAATGGATTTTTAAATGGTGCAAAAAGCCTCAAGACTCTCTGCCTTAACCACAACAAACTGACTACCATCAATCAATCCACCTTCCAACCGAGAAATGAAAATCAGATTCAGACTTTGTTTTTGCAGAGAAACCCATTCCAGTGCACCTGTGATTCATTAGATTTAATTCTGTGGATTGAAAACAGTGATGTAAAGATCCCCAGACTGACCACTGAGGTCACATGTGACACACCAGCAAACCAGAAGCATAATGCTCTGATATACTTTAAAATTGACCAGTGTGTAAATGACAGTCAGGCATTCATGATCTACATTCTCACAAACTTCTTCATTATTTCATTTATGTTTGTGACAACAGTTGCTCACTTATTTTACTGGGATGCTTCCTATGTCCTACACTATATGAAAGCTAAGATGAAGGGATACAGCTTCTTGAACTCACCAGACAGTGTTTATGATGTCTTTGTGACTTATGACACCAGAGATCTGCATGTCTCTGAGTGGGTGATGAGGAATCTGCGAGTGAAACTGGAAGAAGAAGGAGAAAAGACTCTTCCTCTGTGTCTGGAGGAGAGGGACTGGCCCCCTGGAGTCCCGCTGGTAGATAACCTCACTCAGAGCATCCAATACAGCCGAAAGACCCTGTTTGTCTTGACAGAGGGCTACGTTAAGACTGGGGTCTTCAAGCTGGCGATGTATCTGGCCCACCAAAGACTGCTTGATGAAAATGTGGACGTGATCGTGCTGCTGATGCTGGAACCCGTACTGCAGCAATCCCACTTCCTGCGCCTGAGGAGGAGGCTGTGCGGGAAAAGTGTCGTGGAGTGGCCGAGAACCGCTGCCGCAGAGCCCTGGTTTTGGCAAAACCTGAGGAATGTGGTCAGAGTGGACAATCAGGTGATGTACAACAGGACTTATTCAAAGTACTTCACCAGCAAATGACGCGGTCATCAGAATAAAGGCCTACTTTACTAAGATGGACAATATCAATATCTGGAGCCTTGTTTTGAACACTGATGTTGTCCTTCACAACTTTTTTCACTCTGTAGAGCTTAAATGGTAAATAATGACAACATTTCACTTCAATATTTTGTTTGATACAGATACAATGATACTGAATGTGATTTATGTGCAAAAATGACAGTATATAAATTAATCATTTTAAATCTGTGACATTTTGTACATGTGAATGTTTCAATCTGTTGTCTGGCCTCCATCTAATCTAGAAAATATAAAAAAAAGTTCATCCAACAAAAGGGCAATTTATTGTAAGTACAAAAGTCACTGCATTCTGTTTTATTCCATGTGTTTATTGCTGTTTTGTTATTAAAGGATCAAAACAAAAACTAAGATTTGCTCAATCAAAAACCAGCAATAATGTAAATTCTGGAGCCACACTTTGTCTGATCTGTCGCTGCATTATTTCCTGGTTATTACTCTGTTTGGCCGCATGGTGTCGCCCCTCACACAGTTTTAACAGTGTGCAAGTTAAATCTAAAACTACTTGACTCTATTCACTCGTAATAAATAACTTCGTAGCCTAACATTTTAGTTACTTTCAGGTACGAATAAACACCTGGAACCGCTATGAAGGCAAACACTTGCATAGAGACAGGAGAAAACTGATAAACTGAGTTTACTCACCTAATCTGACGCAGGTGTTGGCAGCTGATAAAACGCAGTTCTTTTCCCCAAAAATAAATGCACAGACTTGTGCTAAATGTAAAATATTACGAAGGTATATCCGGAGTTTTATTCTTATCAGTCTTTTTAACATACATATTTGTACAAAAGCAGGCTTTAGAGACAGTGGGCGTGTCGTCTGAAGGTGATTTGCATACTGCGCAGTATTTATAGTGTGACTGACGCCAGAGTCGTCACTGTGCTCCTGCGCCAACGAGACGTGCACCCTGTCATTTCTCTGACTAAAAAACCCTGGTAAGTGTGTTTCTGTGATTATTCGACCATATGTACATTTATTTACAACCTTCTTTTTTGTTTAAGCTTCGCTGTCGAATTATCAAATCGCTATTCTTGAGTTTATTGTCTCTCCTCGTGGTCTCACAATGTCCTGCATCAACACTGAACGGTGTCAGCTGCGCAGGATGTGTTCAAACCTACTGGAATTAATCAGAAAATGGCGAAAGTCAGACGTAATTTAACAAAGAAATGTTAGAGTGAGTGAGTGAAGGGCTGCTTTGTTGTGTAGTCTGTCAAACTTAACGAAGCCTGTGTCAGTTCCTTGGATATTCTATTAACGCGTTAAACTGAACCTCATGTATTCTACATGAATTGTTTAAATTAAGGTATTATGTTTATTTGTCAGATGGGTTGGATATTGTTAAAGGCAGTCTGCTCATGTAGACTGTTCAAAAGGGCGGTGGTCCCTCAGCTGCACACGCTCATAACTGACAAAGCTGTTCTCAAGTCAGTCACTAATGAGCCCATGCGGCATATTTTGCATACATTGTATTTTATATTTATTTTTGGAGGCTTTTGTTCCTCGGCCCTGTAGTCTAGTTTTGCATGAAACTGATCATGTAAATGGCTGTCAAGCTCTTAATGCTGACCTCTAGTTTAATTCTGTCCACATGCTCAGGTGAGTTCTGATTTTAAACTGGACTATTTTGTCTTGTCTTTCAGAGCCTCTGCAGACATGGCCGACAAACCTGACATCAATGAAGTCACAACCTTCGACAAGACCAAGCTGAAGAAGACGGAGACTCAGGAGAAAAACACACTGCCAACCAAAGAAAGTATGTGCTGTGCCTAATGACCATTAATCCAAAAAACATGAAGTTGCTCTGCTCCACAACCTTTGGAACTAATGTTTCAAATTTTTCCTCCTTTTTGCAGCCATCGAACAGGAGAAGTCGTCATAATTCAGACCTGCACGCCTATGCAATGTACATTCCACAAGCCTTGGCTTTTTTTTTTTCAACCTTTTCCAACATGTAGTTACTAATTGACAAAACAATGGTTGTACACCCCCCCCCCACCACCACTCCCTTGCCTAGATGTCCCTCTGTACAGTAAGGAAGAGTGGCTTGACGTCAACATGGGTTCCAGGTGTGTTTCTGTGGCTGCATCCAGTATGATGAAGAGCAGGCGTGTCATGAAACAACTGAGGGACCTACACTGTATTTGTAGCCCTACTCTGGCCACTTGTGAATGCTAACAAAGCAGTGTTTTTGTAAAAAAAAAAAATCTGGAAAGCCCAAGTTTGTTAAATATGCAAAATAAAAAAATGTAAATTGACTTGTGTTGTGGTTTGAACTTTATTTGAGTGACAAACTGCCCATGAATTTGACTTTAATCTCAAGCATCGGACAGCATGGGAGTGCTTTGTAGGCATTGCATCTGTCTTCAGTGCCTGTAAAGTTGCCAACTGACCTAGAAAGTGCTGAAAATCTTCACAGCTAAAGCTGGAGTAGCTTACTCCCTTTTAACCATTCTCTTAGCAGCAAAAGCTATGCGTTCCTAAATCTTGTGAGCACTTCAGGGTTAAGATGTGGCAGCAATCCCAGATTTGTTTGACATTAAATTATGTGGGGGGGGAATAAACCCTGACACAAAACAGTCAGCATCTTAATGACCTGTAGTATTTTGCCTTAACATACTTAAAGAACACATTGTACACTTATTATTGGACCAGTTTTGCAGTCTTGTTCAATCCAGTGAACTCAAACATTCATACAGCTGTGCCAGGCCTCACCACTGAAGCTCTAGATGCTTCCCACTGTGAAATTTTAAGACTCTCTCCTGCCTAATAAGATGGGTCACATCCACTTTAAATGGACTTCAGGTGTTGGATTAGGGTTTAGTGTGTGTGTGTACCCTGGTTTCAGTTTCAGAAATGGATTAATAGACATTTTCAATGTCCAGTTAGACTTTAATCAGTAGCTGCAGCATTAAAAAATGCTTTACAATACATGCTGTAGTATAACACCATAACACTAATGGGAGGTTACGGTAGACTGCAATGAGAATTACCCATGCCTGTCAACTGGGTGTCCCCTGACGCCCCGTACTATACTCAGGTGGCAGAACTGTTGAGCTGAGAGGCAGGAGCAGTAGACTGTAGCATTAGTTGCTGAGTGAAACTGAAGCTATTAAATACAGAAGTTCAGCCTCGGTTTTCTAAAGTGATTTTTGCTCTGAAGCTATATAAAACAAAATGCTGAAAAGTAGAGACGAGGCTGTTTCCAAGAAAAAACTATAAGAAGAGGAAGCAAAAACGAGAACCCCTTCCACCTTATTCTGCGATACAGGGACAACAGCTCTATCTCTCTATGTGGAGAGAAAGAGAAAGAGAGATTACGTAACTGCAATGTGTCTATAGACCATAACATCTGTGCTGTAACAACAACAATAGGCTCTGCTCCCACATTCATCCTCTTTCCCATGAGGCTGCATTTAATCTGAAGTCAATTTTAGCATGGGAAAAGGGACATGTTTATTTTTAATTTGCCTTTTAAAGGAGCACCAAAAGGCCACAACATTTATACTCTTACACACACCAGTGATGCCAGCCCCCCTCCCCATTCTAAGTCCTCTACCATCCTTATGTGCAATCTGGTCACACAACAGCTCCTCAGTGTCTTATAACAATGTGTGCTTTGGGGAAAACAGTAGCCAATACTACACATTACAATGCACTGCTATCTCTCTGTTACACTCTCTCCACACTTTGTCATACTGATAAATGATATATTGAGCCTCAGACAGTTTTATCCTGACAAGCTTACAAACGTGAAATGTGTTCCTGAAGGTTCAGCATCTTGCCCAACAACACGTCAAGGCAAGATTTGTTGGAAAGATCAAACTCGATCCCTTATGGCTGATTAATATAAATATTTGTATCATACTGAGTTTTTACTAAATAACTGAAATTGTATGAATCCTCCCAGTCAAGACCCAATAACTGCCCATGAAAAGGGATGCAAATGACACTGAAATGACACTAAGGGCCGATTGTGGTGAACTTGGCTTGAGGCACCAAGAGGCCATCTGCCAGTGTTGTGACGGGCACCCTCTGGACCGGCTGTGGCTCGGACTGACTGCAGCCCACGACGAAGAACACAGATGCCTCTGAGACTGCCTATGGCTACATACGTAATGCGCTTTGAGACTGAAACCACTCTGGGAATGCTACTCTCCAAACGGGGCTTATACTGTATATCAACAACCACATTGTGCTGTTATTTAGCTGGCGCAGAAATAACTTGTGGATTGATCTGTGGTGTGATTTGCAGGATGTTACAGAATAAGCAAATGTGAGATTGATATTATTCTGCTTTACTGATGTAAATTAACCGACTACCAATCTGTTTCTACTTTTTTAAACCAGTATAATACACAAAATGCAGTAAAATTCAATAAACACCACTTAATAATAGCAGCAAGCTCATGTTTGACAGGAAGCGCTACAGGGGTGAAAACAAGGCTTGTTCCTACAGGTTATTATTTTTACATGCCAGAGGAACTGACAGGATCCCACAGCTGCTCGCAGCAGCAGCAGGGTGAAGCTCACCTCTGTGTCTCTGCTCCTTCCCCATGTTCAGCCTCAAACACGAATGCCCGATGCATCTTTCTTGCGCTCTGTTTCCATGGTAGCAGACAGGAGATTTTAGACACTTGATCAGAGAGACTGCAGTATTGTTCAGAGCTCTAAATACAATCGATCACTTTAACTACATAATATTGATTTATGTACAGTTTGTACATGTATGTTCATTAAGGCTCCTCCACAATACTAGATGGGTTTTTTCAACTCTTCTTCTGTTTCCTAACGGTTTTATCCTGGTGTGTTAACGATTAAGATGAGACGTTGTGGGAAACAGTTATATTCTATATCTATATTAAACTATGAAAATAAAGGGCTGGGGGCTAATCTGTTTTTTCGATTGCTTGAGGAAGTAAAACAAGAAAACCTCCACTCCCCTATTCCCTGTTTTCTACTGGTTTGCTTCACACTGTGCAGGTCAACAGAATGCTTAACAATCTCCACACATTCTGGGAAAAATTGTCTACCTGTCCAAGCCTGTTTCTCATGTCTAGGCACGTCTCTGCATTTTTTAGGGGTTTAGGTATGCTGCACAGCACAAGGGTTGTTGAGCAATGTATACCTTTGCCAATATGTTGTGCTCTAATGGAACATTATTCATTATTGTGACTAAATTAAAGCCCCAGCATGCGCATTACAGCCAGCCAGCAGTTTACTGTTGTCTATGCCACCAATTAAAAGACAAAAACATTTCCGGAATTCTTTAAGAGATGTAAAATGTTTTGGACTTCCTGCTAAATGTGTGACAGGAAAATGAGGTTTTTCAGAAGCTATGCTTATTTAAGCCATGTTTATCATTTTATATGGAAAAGGAAAAGCTCACATTAATCTTCAAGTATTCCATAACTTATTTTGTTATATATATGTGGGGGGTTGGGTTGTTTCCTAAGACTGTAACCGACATGATATAAATAATTAAACTACATCCAACAAATCCTAATGACACCAAATGGGTGTGTCTAGTTATCTGTTGTGTTCACTGGCACAGAATAAGAATAAGAATAGCAGAATAACTGAATAATCATAAATATTCATAGATACATTCTGTGAAGAGGAACGTTATGTGATGCTATCAACTGTAAAAATATATCTAACATTATTATGAACATAGCTCAGTCATAGTACAGAACTAGTACAAATACTATTATCAATTATATCATTATATGGATTCATGGTGTTAATAAAATCTGTCAATGTATTTAAAGTTTACTCCATTTTTACCATCAATCATAGGTGTGTAGCTGGAGCTGGGACAAAAATGTTCATTCATCTGTGTAGGGAGGTTCAATATCTTTATGTTCTTAACTCTGAGTGCACCAAGGAGAGGACAATTCATCTTTGTCTTCTTTATCATACCCACGGTGGGAAAAAGCAGCGCAGCTATTGTGTGATAGGTAGACACAAAAGCTGTGGGTGTGAGCCGGCCAATCCAGTGAGACACCATAATGGTTGCTATGTGTGACAAGGAAACTCCCAGAAACGTGCCTTGTGCTTAGACTTGTTACTACTTGCTTTATTTGTGGCAGAGGGAAGACATTTATCTATCTGGCTGACGAACTGATCACTTACAGAGATATGCAAGTATTTATCTGTGTGAAGATTTTAAGAGGAATCTCTGCAAGCTATGTAGCTGTTTAAAATCCAGTGAAACTAGTTGAAACCTTGTAAATAGAGAAACAACAAAGGCAGAGTAAATATAAAGACGGAGTTGCCTGACCTGTTTCTTATACTCTAAAGGGCTGTTAACCTTTAGTTAGGGTAATGAGCTGTAAACCTCTAATAAGTAGAGAATGCACCTTGAATTTATCAGTCTTACAGAATTACACAGTAATGCGAAACAGTACACGTGAAACAGTACTCCCTGACTAAAGTAGAAGAAGATAAAGCAGATTGAGGAAAGACTGGATGCACCACAAAATGGTGAAATATAAAACCTCACCACAAATTCTCATAATAGTTAAAGAGCACCAGACGGAGGTTGTTTTCTCAAAGAACAGAATCAGATGTAAACAATACAGAGGAGGCAGACAAAATAATGTAAATACCCTGCTGAGAAACGTTTAATCTAAGATGTATCTCCTTCACAATCACAGACACTCGATCAGAAAACCATTTTGAAATGTATGTCAACTGTAAAAGCAGTCTGGCAATCTGCTTTTGCCACATGTGTACTGGACACGAAAACTGCAGAATCACTGACAGAAGCAGTCTTGAAAACCATACGACAACTGGAAAAGGGTACTGAGTAGAGTGCAGATCTCCACAGGGTGTGTCTGGGGAACAGGGAGTGCAGGGCAAGCTGTGACCAGCATGTATGCATGAGTGGAATGAAGGGGACATCATACGCAGGTCTCATGACCTGCGTAAACCAGAGTAGACTATATGGAGAAAGATTAAATTCCAAAACACCAGTGACGTTAAAATATCAGTTTCAAAGTGAAAATGCCAACAAGAGAATCTGCCTACACTAACGTGACTGCCATTACGCCTGGCGGAAAGAACAAACAGACAAACTGAACTGAAAAAGAGGAAAAAGTCAAACTTGTGAAACTAACCAGGCAAGTAGCCGGAATTTTAGAAATGTGCAAATAAAAAAAACCTCAAAAAAAGATAAAAAACGTATCTTTAACTTTAACTTTATCTATTTATTGAACTGTTTTTTTTAATTGTGGTGTAAATGTCCAAATCTTTC